GGCAAATATGGTTATTCGGTCAATGTGAGCCATTATTGCGGCCATCGACCCGAATAAATGCGATACACCTCTGCTGGATTGGTGCCTTCGTAAAGGGCATTGGATACCAGAAGATCATAACAAGAAGTGTGTCCGGGCGCGAGAAGAAGAACTTGGACGAGGAGTTCCGTCGACGTACTCACAGACTGTCCATTGGAGACAGGTATGTGTAATGAAGCTGCTGATTGCGGCACGATGTGGGTTAGTCCCCATCCGTTGCTTGCGTCTCATCAACATCATTGCGATGGAACGACTTTACATCATGATATGATTTCATGCGTCCAAGATGAAAGGATGTGTATACGTTTACATATTCCGACGACTATGACATTCTGGATATTCATGGATGAGCTATTACCTCATGGATGATTTCTTTTCATTATATATATATATTATTCATGGTATCTGGAATGGCTATGATTTGCATTGATTGCTCACCGATATTTCTTTGCCGGTGATATGCAGATTGCTTACGAGCAGGCGCTTCTGTTGAACTTCTATGGCCAACCCATTTCCTATGGATGACGGCTGCGCGATGCGCAAATGCGGCAGCTGGGGTGTTCAATGGTTGTCAAATGACGTGACAACAGTGTATATATTACACCTGCATATGGGATTATGCTACGATTTGGCATGTTTCATTTTCAATCGAACCCGGCATGTTTCACAATGAATGAACAGTGTAGCGACAGCGAGTGAAAGAGTGCACGACACAGTTTCGCAGCTGAAGCCGTGGCCAGTGGAACGTTTTGTGGTGTTTGGACCGCATGATGAACAATGCGACCCAAATGGGGGATGTTAAAACCCTCCAGGCCCCGTGCCTAAATTGGGAAGCAGTTCTGAGGTCCGTGTTTGTGTTGCTTACCAGGTTCCATTGATTGCCATTTGGCTCAAGACACAATTGAGGTTCAAGATCTTATGTGTAGCTGCGTTCACACGTGATCAGTATTGAGAGCGGAGAACACTTCGCTTGCGCTGCATTTGTCAGGACCACTGTTGTAACTATTATTCCTTCTCCCTTACAACGTTTACACGGGTTCGGCTATAACGGCTTTGACCGTATACACCTTTCTACGTGGTTGGTATTACAGCTGGAGGGTTCGGCGCACAGCGTCCCACGGGACGTCACCTTGCCGTCTCTTGACATTGATGTGTGGGTGTTTGGTTTGGTGGTGGCTGGTCTGGTCGGGTTCCCCTGTTTCCATAACAGGACTTTGGGTTTTTCGCTTCTACTGTGAATAGCGCTGGAGGCTGGGGTTCGTTTCGTTAATATCCGAAACCTTCTTGGCTCGTTTTTAACTGGCCAAGTGGGCGCTACGACAGTGGCACGCGGGAATAAAAAGGTGGATGAACACGTCCGTCATCGTACCGTCGAGTGCCTTGAAAGTGAACCGAGCCAGGTCGCCCGACGCGGGTGCTGACGCCACTGAGGGGCATCTTGGGCACTCAGTCGGGAAGCCCGCGATGAAGCTGTGGCGCAGGTAGCCCGCACGGTCGATGTCGGTGTTGCGCACCGTGGCGTCGTAGGTCCCCGCAAGGACCAAGAGGAAGTGGAAGTGCTCCGAGGCTCCCTTCATAGGGTTGTGTGGGTACTGCAGGCTGCCCAGCTGCATCTGCGACTCCAGGAGGCTGTCTTCCTGCCTGGCTGCGCCGATGGGCGCCACGTCCTGCCCCGGGTTGGCCAGCAAGTGGATCTTCGAGCCCGCATCGTTATCCCAGAAGGTCACGAACGCTCCCATCAGTTTCGTGAAGGCGCGCGCGACGGTGACGTTGTGCTCCGCCACTCCCGTCGGCGCCGTGGACTGCTGTGTGTGCACCGTGGGGTAGCTGAACACGAGCGACCTTCCTGAGAGGAGCGCCCGATTGAACGACTCCACGAGCGCCGAGTCTAAAACGACCTGGGAGGCCAGAACTCGGACGTTCTGGATCTCGAAGTCGGTGCTCAGCGTGGCTCCTGCCGGGTGCGCCCCGGCGTTCTCGGACCACAGCGCCGTCGTGGCATCGGCGAACTCCAACTCGAGGACTAGGTTCAGCTGCGGTGGCAGCATCTTACCGCAGCGCAGGATGCCCACCATGGTGGGGCGCAGCAGCACGTCCGCGTAGCCGCTCTGGTGCACCGCGCGGGGCGTCCGGGAGTTGTTCACCTCGTCGAAGCCCTCCACAGCCTTGTTCTGGTTGTACTTGTGGCCCTTCAGCAGGTCGTGCACGGCCACGGTGCGGCATAGTAGTTAATGTCGTCGCAGCGCTGGCCGTTGGCGAAGATCTGGATCCTCTGGATGAAACAGGCGGGGAAGGCGATCTTGATCGACTTGGGGTGAATGAACGAGGTACCGCTGGTCACTGGGATGCGGCAGACCCTCGAGGTGGCTGGGGAGAAGGAGCTCAGCTACCTCCATGCTTCTTTATACACACGCATTTTACTCGTACGGCGAAGAAAGCTATTCTCCCAGCCCCTCTATGACTAGTTTTTTTTGTGCTGCCTCGATGTCCCGGGCCAGCTGGTCGTAGCTTGGCGGAGGCAGGCGGCTCTGGCGGGACTGCCCGGAGCTGCGCGGGAGCTTGCCCGGGAGTTCGGCTGGGACTGAGGCAGAGTCACGGGGTTCAGGCCCCAGGAGAAGGGGTGTGGCGTGTGGTTAGCCTGCGCCTGGACTCGGAACCCCGACTGGGAGGAGGCGCGGCTGCTTGCGGGGCTGCCGGAAGTGCTGCTGCCGGAACGCAGCGTAAAATGTTGGGCGTGCCCCGAGCGAGACCGTGTGATATCTCCATCTCACTACCGTGTACACTTCCGCCATGCCTCCTCCCCTGTGCGACAACAGGCCCTACCGTAGAGGTATGAGGCCACTGCTGCTTGTCAGCGCTGAGATGGGCCAGAGGCATCAACCTGCACACACCGTATGTGGCATAGTTGAAATCATTAGCCTCCCCCATCCAGTGCTCCTGCTCGGTGTTGCCATAGAGCATACCTGTTACCCCATCATACAGGATGCACCTGGTGCTCCTCCCGGGCTTTGCAATCTCTTCTGCCACCAGCTGGACGCATGAATCCGAGAAGTTCAACCACAACATTGGGAATGACGGTTTACGCGAATTGTGTCAGCTCATGAATAATCTACACAGCGCACCCCTGCTCTGCGGAGAATATCCAAGCATTCTGCTGATGGCAACCTTTTCGTTGCACAACCAGTCGAAGTCCGAACATCCATGTGTATTCCCCGGTCCCCAGATATGACATCACATGGGAGAGTTGGCAGGAAGCTGGCAAACAAACGCCAACACGTCGATGGATCAGCAGCTTGCCACCTCAATATACTGACTCCCGGAGTGCCGCTTTGACGCCTGATGGGCACAAGCACCAACAGCTAGAGTTGGAGGTTTACATCAGATGCTCAGCTGGACATTCCAGGCAAGTTAGCCGTGAGCATTTTGGACAATCCATCGGGATCCAGCAAGCTGAGTGGAAGGAGAGGAAGCAGAACCAGAAGAACGAGGATATCGGCATGGATTTCAGCCTACGTCAGATGAACGTCAAGAAGGAGACACGGGTGCATCCAGATCTTCAAGGGACAAGAATCCTACGGTACCTCAACCAAGCTTGAATCCACGAGATGTCCCATCCAAGCCATTCAGCAAACTGCATCACATCTCCTCTTCATCGTGCACGCAGCCTCCAGCAAGGACTTCAACCTGATTCTCAAGACAGCAGAGCTCAAGCCCGGAAGGCTGCTTCATGACCATGGCACGCATCGATGACTATCTGGAAGCCTCACCAGACAACGGCGTTCTCAGAGCCATCCCAAAGGACAGGCGCGCCATGAGCAGTCAACCATCTCATGGATCCAGTCCCGGAAAACACACAAAGAAGACAAACTCACTTCGCAACGTCCCTTCACGTTGGCGACCTCCTTACGCGCGGTGACAGCACCGTTGAGAAAGAGATCATGATAGCACCACCCAAGTGCGCCTGCGCTGTGCACTTCCCAGGCACACCTCCGTGCTTGCAGATAATGTGAACAGCAAGTACTTTGCAGAGCTGCGCCGTTGCGGGCTACGTCACGCACGACGCGATTTCGCTCTGCGGCGCGCAGCAGCGCCGTGCAGCGGCGCCTTGCGGCGGAACGTTGCAGCCGCATTCCGGAGCAGCGCCCAGCAACGTAGAGTCTTGGTGTCGAGGCGCGCTTTCCGCTCTTGCGAGCATCTCGCAGCTGCCGCAGGAATCTGTGTTGCAGTTGTCGTTGCAAGTCGCAGCCTCCTTTCACAACTGGATTTGAAGAATGCTAAACTACGCACAGGGTGCAGTGTGCTTAGTGCTGTTTCAACTTTTCGATGTGATGCTTTCGGTGTCACCGACAAGTTTCACATCTCGGGGTCCTGCTTCAATGTCTATCCTTTGTTCTTGTTTATATTCGCAATTGCAGAAACAAAATGGATCAGCCTGCCGAAATCAAACGAACTGGCGACGTTGAGTGTCGCGATTTGAAGCCTCAGGTGTGTTTGCACAGATTTTACCTTTTATGCGAGCCATGCCGGTGTGAATTGCTTGGCGCGCTGACACTTCACAACCGATTGGGCAATATGCTTGCGTTGTAAGTCTTGCAGGTGCTGGTGCATACTTGCACTCCGCAAAACCTCTTTGTTCGAGGTCTTTTCTGCGATGATGAAATGTCTACATTTCCAGGTTGTGTGTTGTGCCGGATACGTGGCAATTGCAGCAGGTCATGGCACCGCTACGCATTGTTTTGTTATTTCATATTCTTGAGCTGCGTGCGCAGTTTGGCATTCAGCGCTGCTTGTGTATCATGGATTCATGGTACAAACATGTGGGTTTGCGATGCAGGTTGGAGTCAAAACAACATATAGTTGGCCAAGTGGATTTGTTTTTTTTCCCTCGATTGGTTATAAAATACTCGAAGCGATCGATTGCTGAATTTGATGGACACGGCTTACGATTTCTTTGACGTTTGGCTCTAGTTAGCAACGCAGAATTGCCGATGCTTGTCGAAGGCTGGGACGTGTCGAGGGACCGAATGGATCGCAAAATCCTTGTTGGGGAGGACTGTGCGCCTCGGCATCATGCTGCGGAAGCTCTGGGGGAAAGATGGTGATGCTTTTAGCTCAGCAGAAGAGGCCCGCCTGAAAAACGCTGACCATTTGTACACTGCGCTAGCTGTCAGCAAGCGCCCTTCAGGCTGCAGTGACAAAACTGGCATCGGCCCACAGCCGACTTGTCATAGAAAGTGGCCGGGTGAATACGAAGAGTGAGGCAGGATTCACAAGACATGTTGCCTTCAATGCTTTGTCCTGCCAGGCTGGATTCAATTCCTGCGCTTTATTTCTGGAGGGCCTGGATTCCACTTCAAGGGTCTGCTCGGAGTTTCCAGTTAGTCAGTTTGGAGGGACATTATGTGTCAGGCTATGCACCTTGAACCCGCTCCCAGGAAGTGCGCTTTCATGTTGCTTGTATGAGTGCTTCGCGGCATTGAGTTGCAATGCGCGTTTTGAGGTACCGAACAGCTTTCACAATCAATTATCGAGCATTGTTTCCGGACGAGGCGCAACATGTGTCAGGCTTTCAAAAACAAGTAATCCATTTTGCTTGAGCAGTAAGAATCACACCAGCGAAGCATTTCTTAACTCCAGCAATTGTTGTTTTCGGGTTTCACCCCTATGGCTTCCTACCTGCAAGGCGCGCAATTATCGAGTAGATGTTCTGGAGGCGTGCGAGACCGCCGTGAGGCCTCTTTGTTGTTTCATTGCTAGCTTGTCAAGGCAAGTGTGGAGCAATACGCCGTGATCTGGGTCAACGGCGACAAGGTCGGACATGCAATTTGCCACGTGCAAGCGACCAGTCTCCAACGCAGCCGTGGCCGAAGCGTGTATGTTCCCGTCTGCCAGTTCGAGTTCAGCGCAGAAGCCATGCGCCGTGCAGAGGTCTGCAGGGTATTGGGAGAATTGGATCCCGTATGTTTCTTATTTCCCTTCTTGGTTTTAAGGGGGATCTATCACTAATGGACATATTTTTAGTTCACGCAAATGGCAGCAAAACATGACCTGCAATCGAGTCGGGGACGCTCTTGGCTCTTGCAACGGGAGGCTTTGCAACGGTGCCTGGCAGATTTGGCAGCTCTGCTCGAGCGATGGATCTCGGAGCAGGCCTCTCGGTGCAGCGACACTGGACACTGCCAGCACGGTACTGCCAGGCTCGGGCGAGCAGACCATCAAGATCTGATATGCACAATGCACTTGCAGCAGCCTTACTTGTGCTTGGTATGAAACCTTGAGCAGCCAACCAACCCACACGGTCTATTCTAGGCAAGAGTACCTTCTTCACGCGGTTTTCATGCGCACGCACTGGGTGATTTGCAGTGGTTTCACGTGCCCTTGCGATCAAGGAGCCAAGGTTCACTCACCAGTAGGCATTGGGCAAGGATGGTTCATGGTTCAATTGAATCGATGGGAGATCATCCTCTCAAGCGGAAGCAGGAACCAACCTGAACAAGCCAGAACGAATCTGAGTAAAACCAACAGATTGAAAGCATGGGTTGAGTTTGATCACAACTGTTGAAAGAGCAAGTGTGCCAGCACACACGCACGCACACACACAAACAAACAGACACACACACACACAGACCCACACCCGCACCCGCACCCACAGCCACACCCACACGCACACGCACACGCACACGCAAACGCACACGCACACGCACACACACACACACATGCACACACACACACATGCACACACACACACACATGCACACACATGCACACGTACACATGGTGCACACGCACACGCTCACACGTGCTCACACGCGCACGCTCACACATGCGCACGCGCGCACACACGTGCACACACACAGGCAGTCACGCACGCGCACACATGCACGCGCGCACATGCACGCGCGCACATGCGCACAACCGTGCGCGCGCACACCACGCGCATACGCCAGGCATGCGGGGCGCACATGGCACGCAGCGGTGCACGCGCGCAGCCACACACGTGCACATGCGCGTGCGCACACATCCGCGCATGCGCGCGCACGGTAACATGTGGACACGCGCCCAGCACATGCCAAGGAACACGCTCGCGCATGCGCGCGCATGCGCACATGCATACCCACACCACCCAGGCACACACACACACACACGTACACGCACAGATCGATACAGAGATACAGTCATATCGTCACACAGACACACAGACACACAGCCACACGGACACAAATACACACACCACACACACAGAGACACGCATATTGACAGATATCATTACGTGCACACGATGCCAGACACACGCATACGCACGCGTGCAAGCATGCAAGCCCGGAAACATGGAAGCCAGCAAACATTCAGGTGTACAAGCATGCGCAGACGTAAGCACGCAACACGCGAGCACGAAAGAGCACGCAAGACCCGCACGCACGCACACATTTATGCATGCACGCACGAACGCGCTGATGTGCTGAGGTTTCTTTGGACGCATCCTGGGCAAGCTTCGAGCACAAGTGCGGCCAAACACTGTGCAACTTGCAATGACTCCGCCTTTTTTTGTACATGCGCAACGGCTTTGGCTCAAGTGCTGGTGCACGAAGATTTGCTGCTTCAGCAACGAGCAATATCACAAAGATCAGTTAGTTGTCGAGTTTGTTCTCACTTAGCATTGAATGAAGGTTGTAAGGCATTGTCAGCCACAACATACCACAACCAGCGTAGGACAAGAAACCATGCTTCAGAAGGGAAACAGCCTTGATGGCCGGTACACAGTGGCAGCCTCAGCATTGTGCACTTGGGGCTGCGGCCTTGAGCACGTGGCATTGACCAAAGGCTGCCTCCTTATCATTGCAGTCGCTCTCACATTCCGTGATTGGTGACAGCAGGCACGACAAGGCCATGGCTGACAAGACCGCCGCATTGCTACAACCCATTCGTAAATGATTTCGCAGGCCACAAACGCTGTGGCGGCAGCTGAACTTCTTGTACAAGATTTGGAGCTACTCCGGAAGGCTGGTCATTCTGTGACTCCAGGTGCTAGCAGATTTTCATTCATAGTTGCGGCTTTTCGGCTGCACATATTTGCATCAGTTCGTTTATTCAGTTCAAATCCAACGGGCTGGAAGGAGAGGAAAGCTGCACAACAGCGCACCCTGCAGCTGCAAGGCCTGGACTTTTTTTGCGCCGCCCGATTCGAAGACTTGAGTTGAGGTCAACTGGACTTTGTGGAGAGGCTCGTGGGTGCAGATGCCGAAATCTCAGAGATTGATACGCTCCAACCTGGGACGGCACGGAGCCATGGTGGGAGCAGAGGGAAGTCTCTGCGCCCGCCAGTCGCCGCACCGGGCCGACCCACGCGTGTGTTTGGAGCCGTTTGAGCGTCGCTCAGGCCAGCACCGTTGATGGCCCGGCCCTGAGAACTGAGTGCCGCAAGGCGACTCACTTCCGTGTCCGCGGGTCCGCGGGTCCGCGGGTCCAGGCCTTCCTTCTCTTGCGGCTTGGCGTTTGGTGCCGGGCACGATGAATGGCTTCAGCATTGACGCAGACTGCCAGCTTCTTAGCCTGATCTCCGTGAAAGTTTGGGTTGTGAGAGCCGTAGGTAGAACGCGTGACAACACCCAGTGTTGCTTTTGAACAGGACAACGTGGCGCGCTTGCTGTTCATCATGTAGAGATTCAGTGGTCTATGATTGTGTTTGTGGTGGCAAGTGATTGTAGGTCATCATTATCATCATGCCTTGATTCTAGTTTTGGTGGCGAGCACAGGACACCTTTCATGCAAGAAAACACACTTATCTAGTATCAACCAGCTGCAGTCTTTCGATCTGCAGCATCCCTCTACGCGGATGTCTGAGTGCTTGGACCACATAATTTGCACCGCTGTGTGGTTTCACACTGCGCACCTCTTTTGAGTGGTCAAGGTGTGCCGCGCCGAGAAGCGGAGCTTCACGAACGCGGACAGCAATGGATGCTGCCGTTTGCCAAAATGCCAGGCTCCCAGATGCTTCGACTCTCTCGCGCTCACCCACATGGCCAGATGGCCATGGGTCATAGCCTATGCCTCCATTTTGGGGCGGATGAACATCCATGTACCACCTATTTTGATGTTCACCGTGGGTACCATTGGTTTTGACAAACACCCACATCTTGCAAGCTCGATGTCCAGGTTGGCTGGCGGCACGTCGCAGGTTGCGGAGGTCGGCTTTCAGAAAGAGGCTGGAGCACTGAGTGAAGAGAAACCAAGAAGCGTGGACCTTTTAAACGCGAAGCCGGGCTGCGGGTTGCCCATTGCAGTGGCATGCTAAGGTATAGTTTCTATAGGCTTGGCGCGGATGCGGCTTCCGAGACCACAAAAGGGATGCTGGTGATGTCAGACGTTGCCAGCGATACTGGCTGTTGCTGGCTGTTTGCAGTTGAAGGCTCGAAATGCGGCCCTTGCTTGTTTTGCAACGTAAGCAAGACATACTGTGGATGGACAAAATCCTGCACCACCTAAGAAACCCTGGAATGGTGATTCCCCTGTAAATACCAACAAACAATGGTTTCCCATTGTTTCAACGTGGTGCAGGATTTCGTCCATCCACAGTAGCAAGACCAACGGAGTAAGCAAGGCACAACACAACATCACAGCTGCCACGGCAAGGCGGGCCAACAGCCAAGCGAGACCGAGCAAAGGTAAGCTTTGCATAAAGCAATCCAAGGGACAAGCCAAGCAACCGGCAAGGCAAAGGCAGGGCAAGGCAGAAGCACGGCAAGGGCAGTCGTGGCATTGTTGTTTCTTCTGCTCCGCTTGTTTCGATCCTGATCTCAGAACATTGACCTGCGTTTTTTTTTTGCCCAGGTCCCACGAGACTTGGATTGGAGGCCTGTGGCGCCTCTCAAGGGGTCCAGTTTGCCGTCTAGCTGGTAGAGGGGGCCATGCCTAACAGCATAATTTTTCATCTACCAGCAGTACTGGGACCAAAATGGGACATCACAAGATGGCTACCAAGACCCAGCAAAACATGCAAAGGCAAGTCAAAGTAGACCAAACAAAAATACGACGTAGCACGGAGGGACAAATCACACACAGCCAAGCACAGCAAGCACAGCAAGCACAGCAAGCACACAAAAGTAGGAGTCAGCAGGTCGACAGGCACGGGCACGACAAACTAAGGCAAGGCAAAGCAAAGCGAGGCAGGTCATGGGGGAGGGGCAAAGCAAAGAGAAGAGCAGGCAAAGCGCAAGCAAGCAGCACAAAGCGAAGCAACTAAAGCATTATGCTGCAAGCAAGAAAAAGCTTTAAGCGACAGCAAGACAGCCCAGCAGTCCAGCAAGGCGTACAGCTCGGGCCAAGCAAGCAAAAAGGCGCGAAATCGAGCCAAGCCGGGCAGCAAATACTCAGCCAGCAGGCAGTCAAGATGACAGGCCATATGGGTATGGGTCAAAATGAATCCACCAGAGGACCGCAGGTTTTGGTGCTTGTTTCCATTTACCAGGGCAGCCCATTTTGTGTACCTTTGTTTAACCCACAGCCATAAAGTTGCTCATCTACTAGCCTTGTTTCCTCTTTTTCCGCGCCAGCCGCTTTATCCGGGACCTGAGAGCTTGTTAAACAAGTCAACAGGAAAGCAACAGTCCAGCTCACGCGGCCCGCTGTTTGCTGACAGCTCTTACCCAAATCGAGGTGCGCGAACTCAGGAAGAGTGCGTGAGTATTATTGACATGCTCTCAAGCAGTTTCTCCTCCGTGAGGCAGAGACTCTGCTACATACACTGGACGGATGGCAGGAGGCTGGCCATGTGGAAGCACTATCTGAATGCGGACCAAATTGCGCCAGGTATTTGCAGATTGATCGATTCACGGTCTGTTGAGGTTTCACAGCGATTTCGTGTGCAAAGCTGCAGCTAAGAGCTGCACCTCAATTGGACGCAGACGAAAGGAATGCAGCGAATGCAACGACTTGAGCCAATGCATGACTCCTACCGGCCAGTTTGCAAAATGTTTCCCTGTGCGCAGGTACATCATGGAGTTGATTGAAATTGAAGAGAAAGCAAGAAGACTCGTGGTTCAGGCTGCAGGGTTTGATGTTGAGTTTTGCACATGCATCATGGGATGTAGGGACAGTGACAGGCCATAGAGCGTGAAAAAAGTCTCCACTTGATGGAGGCACGAGCTGGAATGTGTGCAATGGCAATGGCTTGCTCAGTTTGACAGTCCAGATTTGTTCCATACAGTCAACTTGATCAATATGCATGGCTAGATCGTGCATGCGCTTGCCACATTTGAATGCACTTGGAGGCCAATTGTGTCGGTTTCGCTGATAATTCATTTTAAGTTCCACCTGTGCAGCGCAGCATGTTGATGACCATTTCCGAAACGTTGAACACCTGGGTTACAGTGTGGAGAGGGGAAGAGAGAGAGAGAGAGAGAGAGATAAAAAGAGAAGAGAAAGAGAGAGAGAGCGCGCGACTTGCGTGCGAGACTTGCGCAAGTAACTTTGCGTGCTAGACTTGCACGCAGTCACATCAAGCGCGCTGGCAAGAAGCCGCCTTTTAAAAGTCGCGGATCACAGGCCTCCAAATGGCCGCGAAACGATACCTTAACTGCTGACCCTCGTCTTGTGATATAGCTGAAGGGTTAGACGCGTTCTGAGACCAAGCATGCACATTCGAGTACGCCCAACGCTCATTGTCAGAGCATTTGCAGGTTTGGGTTCTGTAGGCATGGAAGCTCATGTTAGGACATTGACCTTAGATGCTACATACCTGGTCATAAGGCTCTACATACGCTCACAATACAACCGAACTGTTTCTAAATTGGCTGACACGGGTTTTGCGGGCTGCTTGTTTGGAAGCAGCTTTGAGACTAGGTCCTGGAGAGGAAACCTAACACGCAGCTATCAAAATCCTCTCTTTTTTCGAGTACCAAAGCAGGGTGTCGTGCAAAAACAACCACACCCAAGCAGCATGGATCTTCCAAGTGGCATACCAAGTTGCAAGTTGGCAGTGGGTTTGGAGGTTGGCATCCTGACAAGGGCACTCTCAGATTGTCAGGACAGCAACCAAGATCAGGCACTCTCCTCGCGGCCAGAATATAGGGAGGCGCGCTTTGCGAACTGTCCTGAACACGAGTCTTTAATGTTTTATCGGTGCTGCCTTGGAAACATGCAGGAACTGCGGCGCTTCGTGGCTTCGATTGCCCACCTGAACTCCGTAGCCAATGTTCGCCGCAAGGATAGGAGGGTGTTGAGCGTCAAAGTATGTCAGATGCAAAGTCGCATCGGCTCTGATGTGGCACAGGGCAGAGACGACTTGAGCATGGAGGTGTTGTTGGATGCAATGCAGACGCTGGATGCTTAGTCTATGCCCAACAAAGTGGCGTTTGAGCCTATGGACCATGCCGACAATGATCTACATGGCCGCTTTTCAGGGAGACATCACCGAGTACCAAAGAACAACACCCACACACACACTGGGAATGCCACGTCGGCAGTCAAACACCAAACGTTCAAACACGTAAACATGAGATGAAATGTTGCAAGTTAGCACTGAACCGTGCAAAGTCAGTGGCCTTAAGGGCGATTGTTAGGGGTGAGCCCTCCAGCTGCCCGCGACGGGACCCAGGAGCAGCTCTCAGGCAGGTACGTTTCACGAAAAGTATGTGGGGTCTTCGTTGGCAGCCGCCCACATACTCTTCCGGCTGCCCCCTGCCGGCATGCACGAATTGCACGGATTTGACAAATCGGGGTACATACACGAACGTAGCTGAAAGCTTCTTGGTCTGGGGCAACCGCCGCAAACCTCTGTGCGTCAGGCGAATGCGTCCACTGATGTCCGCTGTGAACCGATAGGTCAGTAACGCCGTTCACGACAAACGTAGCTGAAAGCCACCTGGTCTGGGGCAACCGCCGCAAACCCGTTCACTGCTGGCGTGCATGAATTCCACGGATTTTGACAAACCTGGTTCTGCAGGTGGTTTGTACTGCGGATGCCACAGTGGGCAGATCGGGCTCTTCGAATTTGGGCGAGGGCTGATCGAATTTCAGCGAGGGTTCATCTCGAGAACGGGTTGTTAAAACATTTGGTCCAGCACGGCAATGTTTGCGGAGGCGGCGTCTCGAATTAGGCTGAGCTGCTGGCAGAGTTGCAGCAAACCCGTCTCAGATGTATTAACTTGGCGGTCAGGGGGGGGGAGGGGGGGGGCGGACGGCGGGGGAAGTGGATTACTCAAAACATGAGCCTAAATGGCCGAAGAATCAAGAAGTCACAGAACAATGAACAATGAGCGACGTGCAGTAAGTGAGAAATCTATTTTGACCAGCGTCGCAGGGTTGACCTAAAAAGTAGACCGACGAGAGGTCGCAGCCTGTAACTCGCGAAGGGTGAAACCATGGGATTGGTAAAAATCCTGCAACACAGCAATGTCCGTGGTAATGAAGGACCGAGGGAAAGTATACTTGCGAATCAGCGCAACACGAGATAGATAACCGGAAAATCTGTTGGCTCGTGTAGCCGTGCTATATGGGTGACGAACCTGCCATTTGGCATGCGGCATGATGAATCTGACCTGTCGAAGACGATGGAGTATGCGGAAACCCAAATAGTGATCATCGTTCACGGGCTCGATCAAAACAGGAGGTATGTAAAAAGTGTCCCGGAATAGAAATTGGAAAGGGGGCGAGTTGGCAATGTCGGCGTGAATCAATAGCATTCTGTTGTCGACGTATCGGGTAAAACAGAAAAGGTGTCGTTGGCTATGCAAAAACTGCTGAAAAGAATCAGTCCAAATCTGCTCCCGATGGGCAATCGCTAGGGCACACAATGCAGGAGAAAGCGGATTGCCAATTGTGGCTCCTCTAGTCTGCCGATAAACCTGTCCCAGGGTGAGGAAAATGCTAGCTGTAAAAGCAGTGGAAATGAAAAGGTCGATATCATCAAGGCGAATTGTTCGAAGGAGGCCTTTGCCCCTATACATGCGAAACTGCGAGTGAGTTGTGGACAAGTCAATTGAAAACGTGAGGTCAGGGGGTCCGGCGTGTTGTCTCAAATAGCGTTGCTTGGCTTCGCGCCAGGATGCTAACACTCGGCTTTGTGGAAGAGAATTGAAGAATCCGATGATGTCATCATTGCGTAGAACGATGCGGGCGTCATCCGAGATGGACTCAAAGAAATGACGGATGCTGCTCCAAATGTCCACATTTTGGCCGGGGTCCAATGATGCAGGAAAAGCAATACGTGAAACAGCTTGAACGACGAAAGCACAGGCTTTAAGGGCAGCGGCAAGGGGAGTGTTCCTGTAAGCAACAATAGAACGGCCAATAGCAAAAGATTTCTTGTGCTTGAGCAAGGTATATCCTCGTGGTAGGTCCAAATCCAATCGAAAGGCCCAAGGGTATCGCTGAAGCAAAGAATCGGGAATGAGGGTGTGCAGAAGATCCTGAGCTTTGCTTGGCGGGATAGACACGCGTTCAAAAATCGTGGTCTCAGTGAAAGTGGCCTTCACTGCATTGTAATATAGTAACGGGCAATACAGCATAGTACGAAAAGGTTGATGATCCTGACAATGAATAGTCAAGCCCTGTAGCTGTTGTCGCAAAGATGAAACAGCCTGCCAAGTGATGCAGTCCTCATGTACGGTGTTCAAGTGCAGTGGCCACTGACCTTCCAAGAAGTCGTGGGTGGCAGCATCATCCATGTTTAAACAGTGCTTGTCAGCCCAGCGGGCGACATCTTTGCGGAATTCTTCTGAATATGTGCGCTTGGAGGGTAAAATTTGCGAGGCTGCGCTGTACTGAAGTATGGCTTTAAGCTGCGGAGATATCGACAAGAACTCGGCTGGGGAAGCAATGTGCCCATTATGCATTTCCAAATGGGGGTGTCTAGGCAAGAATGATTTGCAGGGGCACGAAGGGACTCTCCCTGGGTTCAAGGAGAATTCACGCATGGTCTCCTGGAAATTGAACAGTCGTTCGTGTAACGAGACGTGAGCCCGAAACAATATGGACCGGGAAGGAACATGAAGTGGGAGGAGTCGGTGTTCACTCTTGCGAATTATTTGCAGCAAAAATTGGCGTACATTGTATTGAAATTCAGGATGCGACAGGGGGCAAGTGCGAAAAGGGCTGTTAGTACCCGGCAAAGCAAGATTCTTGACCCGAAAGATCTTGGCAATGTGCGACTTGACTCTGCTGCGCCAGGGTTGTTCGAGGTTGTTACTCAAACGGAGTAGGGCATACAAGTGAAGTTGATGAACACTGTGTCGGCGAAGAAAAGCCTGGGCTCGAAAACTTGTCAAGTTGTCACCTGCGAGCATCAAAAGGGTCTGCCACAAAGACTGAACGGAGTCACTGAAGGAAGTAAGGAGGGAGAAAGGGCAATGAACAGCAGAAAGTCGTCGGCGAATCTTCTTGTGCAATCGGGAACTGGCTATAGACTGGTGATGTCGAGTCGGTAGTCGTTGATGTTTGATCCCTGAAGCCCGGAGTTGAATACGATTGCAAAAAGGGTAATTCAGGGGTGGCTGCCATCGGCTGATGAGATTAAGTTCCAACAGGCGTACCTCGTGTTCTGCATCGGCAGTCACCACTGGCAACAAAACGAAATCAAAAAATGAGGACGTGCGGACCCAATAGTGCAAAGCCAGCTCGGCTTTGACAAGCTTATGCTGCTGTAACTGATGGAGTTTGCGTAAACGAGAGTGAAACCGACCAAAAACAGTCTTCCGGGTACTGCCGATGTAGAAGAGCCGGGCCTTCTTGGCAAATCTGTGAGGTTGTCGTGTATCCATTGCCAACATCAGATATACAGCATAGGGGGAGTCCATCAAGCTCCAAGAAAGGGATTGCCATGAGTAGTCAAAGCATGTTAATCGACGTCTCCACTGGGTAATGGCAGCGGAGTTAGGGGCCCAGTGAAACAATATAAGCCAAGCAAGCTTGGCTCGGATAAGCAAAAGAGCATTTGAAACATGTATGGGCATATACTTGGGTAAATACTGCAGCGTAATGGTAGAAAAACGGAAAATAAGGTCAATGAGGTTGGCGTACTGTCGCATCATTTTGGCCGGTTGATGACCTCTGCTGATCCATTCGTAAAGCCATTGGATAATGAGAAATAAGAGTCTGAAAACATCCTCGAGGTCGGCAAAGAAGGTGTTGATGGGAATCGGAATAGGTTGTGAAACACGCAAGTCTTCGGGAGCTAGTTTGGAAATCTGTGTGAAAATGTCGGTCAGCATGTCGGAGTGTGTGTCGAATATGCGCAGGGGATCCATCGCGGTCTGTACACGAAGAGGGCGACGAACCTGTGAGCAACCATGGCTAAGCACCGTGTGAGAAACCATGTTGCGCGTGCAACTCAAAGAGTGCGAACAACAAAAGTGCAAATGAACAAAACGGTTCAAGGCTCGCACTGTTTTCGTCCATCCAGAAGTCAACATCTAGGGAGAAAAGCAAAATAACCAAAGGCATGTTGGCGCTCATCACTGCAGAACCCGATGGTTCGCGTCAAGCGAAGGTTAGAGCGTATGCCACCAAAATGCAGCGATACAGCTCATGATCCTTCATGTTCACTGCACGGGATACCGGCAATCCGAATTCCGCGGCGCGGTCTTTGAGGTTTGACCTCTGTTCCGGGCTTAAATCCTTGGCGGAATCGGCAGAGCAGGTCATGGCATCTTTGAACGCCGAGGCGACACCATCCGGAAGGCGTAGGTTCTTAAGCCACTTGGTGACGACCGCGGGGGTGTGACCATTGGGGGCCGACTGGTGCAATGTGCGGTTTGCCACAACATAGTCCATGTGGAACGGACGTTGGGAGTCAAAACCATCAAGGTCGGAGACAACCGCCGCAGGGGCACCCTCAACAGTTCTACGCTTCTTGCTGGGGGGGGCCGCCACAGGTAATGAGTTGGGCGCATCCTTACCGGCTTCAGTAGAAGCAATCTGCATTTCCAACTTCTTGATGGTTTCCTGGGCCTTGATGAGATCAGTGGTCACTTGACTGCGTAGGGGGGCGACCAATTCTTTGGCAACGAAGGCCAACAGCTCGGCGCGGGCCTCTTGGGAATTGAGGGCAAGGGCCTGCGTGGGATGGGAGTTCTGCCAAAGGTTCTGGGCGAGGGTGTCAATATCCATGCCAAGGGATCGAAGTTCTTGCATCAGCTTTTCGCATAAAACGGTTTCCTTGATCGATCTGCCAAATATGACCGACACAAAGTCGCCGGCTGCGAGCCAACGCAATGACACGTTCTCGATGCCTTTATAGCATAAGAGGGACACTGGAACCTGCAAGGGGTCCAAACCAGCAAGGTTGTTGCGGCGGCTCCACGCCGTTTCCACCACTTTGTTGGGGAGGGTGCGCCCAAATATCGGCTTGGTGTCATGATGGTGGGCGTCCGTGGTCCACGAACCCGGAAAACTGGTAGGAGCGCCGCTGGGCTTTCCCGAGGGGCTGTACTTAAGGTCGGGGTTCCGCATGGGAGTCCTCTTATCCGGGGTGGCTGGGCCGTGGGAGTCGGGCGAAGGCTTGTGTTCCCAAGAATCCTGCCATGACTTGTTGGGCCATTTTCCCGATGAAACAGGTTGACTGGCATCCTGCCAACCAGGGTTCCACGAAGAAGAATTCCATTGATCGTCTTGCCATGTAGTGCGGGACTTCCACGAGCGGTGGTCCCAAGACTTGTCAGACGAGACGGGCTTACTCCAGCTCATTGGGGCAATCAACAACGGGCCGTTCCGGGGGAATCAAAACAGCTGCAAGGGATCAAGCAGTGTTCAATTCGGTCCCAGAGGCAATGCGAGAAAGGTCATCAAAAGGTAATGACAATGCACGGTTGAGAAGCGGACTTTTTTCGAGATGCGAAGTCAAGTGGGGTGAGACTTGTCTGAGCCGGATTCGCACTCAAAACCGCACCTTGATTGGGAATAACAGATTTAACAAGTGGGCCCTCACCCGGCGAGGATGTTCAGCATTTCGGGGCCTGTCGCCTGTCCCCAGGATCCCCACTGCTGATCCTCCTTTACTGTAACGACAAATAAATCTGTCAAGCAAGCTGCCGACTCCCTAATACACCATCGCTTGTCTTTACTAGCGGAGTGGACAATCTCGTACCTTCGTGCGAGTTCTTGTTCCCGCCACGTGTCCGCAGACGTGGGCTTAGTGGATTTCCCTCGGCACCCGCCAGAGAAAACTAGGCCGCTCGCGTTCTTGGTATGATATGCGCATTGCCCAGCAAATGCAGCCAATTCGGCCGCGGTACCGCCCGCAAGGTGGGCCCTCGCAAAAAAGCCATAGCAGTCATGAGTGTCAGGCATGTTGAGTCCTTCACGTGTGCTCCTCATGACTTTGCCCGTTTTCAAAATTCCGATAGCCGACAAAAGGGTGGTGCCATGGTACCAGCGAACGTGAGTGTCGCCCGTGGCTTGAATGGACACAGGACCTGGCATGTCACTGAATGACAGTCTCCAAATGATGGTCTCTTCGGAATCAATCCAAGCAGGAATTGGTGTGCGGATGCGGCGTTGGTAATCAATACCGCTGGCGTCAGTGCGATCACTAAATTCTGCATGACCGCGGGGGACTGCGGGAACTCCGTAAGGGTGAAGTCCAAATGACACATCACCCAATTTAAACATTCGACAAATGGCGGAGCGGCGCAAAAGCGAGTGAGGGCCACCTCTGGCTGGAGCCATTCGGTGCGGCCTGCAGCTGTCGCAGTTTGATGCGGAGGTGGAATCCGAAATTCGGACCCCCGGGTTTGCTCCTCTAAGGCGCTGTACAAGTCTCGGGTGGTCAACTTGGCGAGGGCTGTACTTGTTGTCAAAGCATCGGTGCGTCCTCCTGAAGCATCGTTGGCCGATGTCTTACGGAGGCGGCTATTGGACGGAGTGTCATCTCGAGGATGCTGATCCTGAGATGCTGTCGCCTGTACACTGGCCGGAGGAGCAAGCGCGAGAGAGACCGTGCGTGGAGAGGCACCGGGGTAGGGAGGCGGCGTTTCAGCCCGGGCATCCATCAAATTGGGGACTGCCTGACACGGTCCATGCGGGCCTCGAGAGTCTGGATTGCCAGATGTCTGGCGTGTTGGTCGTGCCGGCGGGTGCGCAGGCTCCGCTGGTCTCGAATTTGCATGCACGGGCGGAGGTGTTCGAGGCGGCGGACCGGGCTGAATTCTCGGACATGGTACAGGAGGTGGGCGGTGACTGCACATTGGCGGCCACGGAGTCTGCTGATAGGGTGATACACCCAGACCAGGCGGAGGCAGAGGCGGAGGAGCTTCGTAATGCGGTCCTGGCATCGGCGGTGCAGGGCAGCTGCTTGAAAAGTTCAAGGCCGCTGAGGACTGCGCGTGCGAAGCGAGCGGAGCAGGAATCACAGGTGGTGCAACTTGTCCGAAAGTTGCCGGACTAGGCTGTACAGGTGGCCAAGGTTGCACCAGGTGGTAACGATGCGTGTCCCCTGTTCGGGGATTCTGCGGTGCGGGCTGACTCTGCTGGCTCGGCTGACTCGGCTGACTTGGCCGGCTCGGCGTGGGATCGTAGGGATCCGACATCGGAGGGCGAGGAAACAGTGAAACATTTCCGGGTGGTCCTGCGGGTCTATCTTGGCTCCAGCGGGGATCCAGACGGACTTCCGAATTAGTGCGCTCGGGTCGTCTGCGACAGTCTCTGTGGGTCTTGCGACCTCTGGATCGGGAGCGGGACCTGCGTGGTGTCCGCCTGCGGTGCCTGCGCTGTCGAGATCTCGATCTTCGGGATCTCGACTTCTGTCGCTGGGAAGCTGGGGTCAAGGTGACCGCTCGGGCAGGCTGGGGGTCAGTCGGATTAGCATCCGGCAGGACATGCATGCGGATAGTCCCCGAATTAGGACGAGGCGGAGGCACTGGATGCGAGTGGTGCATCGGTTCCATGTTTCCGTAGAAATGGAACGAGTAGTGCGACATGTCGAATTGCACAGCGGTAGCAAACCTTGTATATGGTTCGTACAGGGAGCCAAATAGCTGCGGATCTGAAATCAGGTCAGAGTCATGGAGGGCCTTGGTGAGGCTCAAACTCTCGTGCACTTATTGGCTAATTGATTCGTCCGTAGGAGCTGTTCGTCGAAAGTCATTCGTTGTAAACTTTTCGTTGTAAACTTTTCGTTGTAAACCGAAAGGAATGATTCCAGATGAGTGCCTGCAACGCAGGCAGGATGAGATGCAGTAATGATGGGGTAAACTGGCCTGTCAAGTAGGCCACGACCATACGTTGTAAACAGCGATCGTTCCCGTGTAAACGTGCCAGAAAGGCTCCACCATATCAACGGCTCTTGTCTAGTGAGATAAACAGGGTTCTCTAGCAGGCAAGCTGCTAGGACTGCGCACTTTGACAGAAAGCACAGCCAGACACACTGGGAATGCCACGTCGGCAGTCAAACACCAAACGTTCAAACACGTAAACATGAGATGAAATGTTGCAAGTTAGCACTGAACCGTGCAAAGTCAGTGGCCTTAAGGGCGATTGTTAGGGGTGAGCCCTCCAGCTGCCCGCGACGGGACCCAGGAGCAGCTCTCAGGCAGGTACGTTTCACGAAAAGTATGTGGGGTCTTCGTTGGCAGCCGCCCACATACTCTTCCGGCTGCCCCCTGCCGGCATGCACGAATTGCACGGATTTGACAAATCGGGGTACATACACGAACGTAGCTGAAAGCTTCTTGGTCTGGGGCAACCGCCGCAAACCTCTGTGCGTCAGGCGAATGCGTCCACTGATGTCCGCTGTGAACCGATAGGTCAGTAACGCCGTTCACGACAAACGTAGCTGAAAGCCACCTGGTCTGGGGCAACCGCCGCAAACCCGTTCACTGCTGGCGTGCATGAATTCCACGGATTTTGACAAACCTGGTTCTGCAGGTGGTTTGTACTGCGGCCCCCACCATGCACTCTTCTAAAGGACATCTTCAAGCCCTGCCGTTCAAACGGTGTTTCCTCATTGAACCTTGCCAAGGCTATCTCGATGCGATGCAGAGAAAGGTGTTTCACTCAGATTTGCCACTTTTCCCGCAATGAAAGCTTGTCATTTCAGCAGCCGAGGTGAGAATTCGGAGAAGCTGGCGACTGCGCGCATCCTTGCGAAGGACGTGCTGGATTCCTTCGCCGCGATGCGGGAATACCTCCGGGAGGCGCGCGATCCGACACAGGCGCGCGATCGAGCTGTCGGGCGCTCCAAGGTCGGGCGCTGCCTTGAACGAGTTGACCCGCACCTCTGCCATAGCCTTGGAGATAAGAGAAGCACAGCATTTGACAACATGTTCCCAGTGACGTTGAGCAGGCAAAGTGCCGTTTGTTTGAAGTGTCAGATTTGCCAATATCGCATGTTTGCCGTGACCTTTGTGGAATGGTTCCTTGGAGGAACGGAGTGATCCTGCGACTCTCTTAGGCAACAACGCGGGCCTGGTGGCGAGATTAGTCGACTGGGAGGAGAGTTGGGAGGCACACTACGCAGGATTTCATGTGGCATGCCATGGCACGGATCTTTTTTTTCCACCTCTCAGATCTCAATTTCTTTATCCTTGCCTCCGAGCAAGGATACTAATCTCACATGCTTTGCCAAGACATGTGCGTTTTGATTCGATAGTTCTGACTGTAGGTTGGGACTCGTTACGTTCAGCAAGAGCGAATGCTGAGTGCAGTGGGCACCTCAGAGTCATCAAGAGCATTGAACATGCGCAGACGTAGCCGAGGTCTGTGACTTGGTGGCGGAAATTCGCTCAGCACAGCGGATCGCTCCAGCGCCCCGGCATGACAGTTTCAAGAAGTTGTAGAGGCTTTCCGATTTGAGGGACACACATCGTCACGTGTCGCCATGGGCCGAAGAAACACAGATTCCAAGTAAGTGACCGTTCCGCCCAGTCGCGATGCCGACTTTACGGAACAGTGGTTGCTGCCTGTTCCGGAATCACCCCTTGAATCACTGAAAATGGGGGAGGTCCAAAAATGCAACTTACGTTTTTGGGTTCCGGGGGAGGACAAAATGCAGCTTTAGCCAGGGAAAAATCCCACATCTCAGAAATCTTGCATTTTTGGATACCTGGTCCCCCCCCTTTAAGGGGGTGGGGATGTCCGGAGAGTGCGGAAAGGGGTTCTAAGGTTGCGGGCTCAAGGTGGGGCTCTGCGTTTGGGAGGATTCTGGAACGTTGCGGAAGGATCGGGGGTTCTCCGGAAAGTTCTGGAGGATCGCAGGGGGTTCCACGGAGCAATTGCCGGATGGTTCGGGACAGGGTTCCGCAGTGATTCACAGCTGCTCCGGGCGAGTTTCAGAATGGTCCCGGGATTGCTGTTTGGGATACCACCTTGTTGAGACATCATTCATTGAATTGGATGCTTCGTTCAAATCTTTCGAGCTTGCAACAAGGCCCTGGCACAAATGTGCGAAGAATGCGATGTGGAGATGTTTATGGTCATCCCTAGGCTGGAGCTTTTGCTTTCATGCACTTGAGTTTGTAGATGATGCATGGTTGAACATCAGATTCGATGCACATATTCTTGCGAGGATGGCATGGCTGAGATGCCTGGACAAGTCAAAGTCCTACATTGATGGTGTGTTTGATGTCAGACATGTGCAACCCCGATGGCTTTTTTGGTTAGATGTGGACTCTCATTGCCGAGGCCGACACTTCTTGAGGGCTTCTTCAAAAGCCTTCTGCCACATCGGTTCGCGACCCAGGGAAAAGGTGCTGCATTGGTCGCCATGGTTCCATGTGATGGCCACTACTGTATGTGATGTTTTGTCAGGTTTGGAGAGCCCAATGGTGAGGCACAAAGCTGCATTGAGCACGCGCCCATTGCGAGCGTGAAGTTTTTTGTTCTTCTTTATATATATATATACATATTTTAATGGAGATCGGAATGCCACGTGGCTCAGATCGCGTTGCAATGGCAAAAGCTCTGATCCTCAAGACCTGCCTGGACCAGGGCGTGCCTGGACCGGAGCACTTTGAGATTTGCCCACGCCCATGGCCGACGATTGGGGATGGTCTGGTTGTGAGATTGTTGGTGGTCAGTGCGGACCCATACATGCGTTATAGGATCAGGTCTGATGGCGACTACAGGGCTGGGGAGCCTATGCGAGGCCTGGTTGCCGGCAAAGTTCTCCAGTCGAAACTTCCAGGTTGGAAGGCCGGGGATCTCTTCGGCGCAGAGCTACCCTTCGTTGATGTGCAGGCTGTTTCACCACACGCAGCGGGTTCTTTCAGAAAGTTGTCGGGATTGGTCAGCGAGGAAAGGATCAGTCTTGGAATCGGTGCTCTTGGAATGCCTGGATCCACAGCTTACGGCGGTTTGACAGACATCCTGAAGCCCAGACAAGGAGAGACCATCTGGGTCACCGGCGCAGCTGGGGCTGTCGGATCCATGGTTGGAATGATGGCAAAGCACGTCTTTGGCTGCACAGTGGTGGGGTCTGCCGGGGGTCCTGAAAAATGCAGACTGGTGACTGAGAAGTTTGGCTTCGATCACTGTGTGGATTACAAGGCTTGCAGCTCGGCCAAGGATCTAGCTGTGGCCTTGAAGCGAGTCGCACCTGGAGGAATCGATATGTTTTTCGAGAACGTCGGCGGAATGCACTTTGAAGCAGGTATGCAGTGCCTTCGGCCACGAGGGCGAGTTGCAATCTGTGGCGTCATTGCAGATTACAACAAGCCAAGGATGTCGCCCAACAAGATCTTCATTTCCAACATGATATACACGGAGCAGACGATCCAAGGTTTCCATTGCTTGCCGTGGCTCACCGGCCAGAAAGGCAACTTCTTGCGGGACATGGCCCAGTGGTTGCAGGAAGGGAAGGTGCAGGTCCAAGAGACGGCATTTGCCGGACTGGAATCCTTTGGAGCTGCGTTCCGTGCTTTGTTTGAAGGAGGGAATCTTGGTAAAGTAGTAGTGCGCCTTGCGGATCCGACGTCAAAGCTGTGATTTGTTTGTGCGACGAGTGGCAATACTCACAGTGCTTGCGGAGAAAAAATGGCCGCGGAGCTTGCTCGTTTTCAGTTCTGAGCAAATAGACCCATCCAAATGCAAGTTGAGCAGAAGTGAACATTCTCGAAAGTGTGCACAAGTGATGTATTACAGATGCCTGAAAAGAAAGCGGAGCTGGACGCCTTTACCCAACAGTGGAGAGCTTGGAAGGATGTATTCTAGTTTGCATTTTGCTTTCCCAGCGGTCTGCTTGAGGTTCGCAGATACAAAGGAGCTTCTAATGGCAGCAATGTCGCCCACTCAAGGCACAGAGCTTTATGGACGATCGGACAAAGAGTGGGAAGCGGCAGTTGCGATTCTGAACCTGGCACTTTCAGGTGAGGTGTGAGATGGTGGTGAACGTGCTGGTGTATATGTTTTTGCACTGGGTGCGGTTTGGGGTGTTGGCGCAGGTGCTGCGAAGCGAGTGTTGACAGCCGGCAGGGGATGATGGCGCTGTTTGTGGTGCGGGTGCTGATGCGATTCGAACCGTTCTCGCGGATGTTTGAAATTTGGATTCTGGGTTTGTTGTGCTGATGCTGGGCAGGGTTTGTGGGTGCTGTTGAGTGCTGTTGAGTGCTGGTGAATGAGGCTTCATTGCATGCAGGGTGTGCAGGAATTTGAAGCTTTCAGCTCTTCCTTTCTAGTTTCTAGTTGTGTGGTACGGATGCCAGTATCACCATCACGCTGCATTCGTGAGGCATTGGGGTGCTACTTTAGCCAAGGTGCGTTTAAACCAGCAAGGTACTGTTGAATCATGTATTTTCTGGGGCGCCAAGAAATGAGTGGCAGGGGCTGGTGGATGATTTCGGGGTGCTGCTGGATCTGGTGTTGGTGCTCACGGGAGACATCGCTTGGCTGGTACGAAGTGCTGTTTGGGGTGCTGGTTCAGGTACCTGTCACATGGTGCTGACTAGTGCTGGCTAGGCTTTGAACTTGATGTCCTTGCGTCGTTTTTGCCGAGTCTGCTCAAAAGAAGCAGGCACAAAAGCGCGCTTTGATCCTGGGGTTTATGCAGGTGTTTTCCGAAATTTCAGCAGTGTGCTTCCAGAGCTAAGCTTATTTTGAAGCTTTCGAGCCACCTTTGGATGCAGGCGGGCTGCTTCGAACAGGAGACTTTGAACGAGCAACTTGGGAGATGCTTGTCAAGCGGATAGTAAATGGAGACAATGGAAAGGACTGTTCTTTTGTTGATGCGTGAGCGTAGTTCACTTTGACCATTTGGGCAAATTTGGCAGGACACATACCAATGGATATCTCCAAGCCTGAGAGAGCCAGCAGAGAAAGCAGTGGAGGCCAGATCTTCGTTTTGTTTCCTGAGCTTGAAGCTTTCGCAACCTGCATTTCCTGGTTTTGGTGCAGGATCTCATGCGAAACCTGGAAGCATGGAGTATGGAGCTTGCTCGACATTGTCCAGAGGAGATCTCATCAGAGACGGAACTTAGCACGAGCTCAGTTTGCCTGGGAGGACTGGAATCAATGCTGTGGGATTTTGGTGCAGTGCCTCTCTGGGACAGAAAAGGAATCCACCAAAGGTCCGTTTCGTGTGCGCCTCCCAGTCACAATATCCTTGAGCAGAAGTTGAAGCACCGCATCAATCTTTCTCTTTGATCCGGCCTCAGGTGTGATCAAGTTTCTGGATGCGATTGAATCGTGAGTCGACTATCCACACATTTGCTGTGCCTCCAATTCGTTGCTCGCTGAAGCATGACCCCATACTTTGCCAGCCAATTGAGTGAATTATGAGATTTGCCCGACTGGCGCTTGTCCGACTGTCCTGAATGTTCATTGCAGCGCCGTGTGCAACTTTTCATGCGCCAGTTTTCTAGCATCCCTGGCATGTCTTCACTTTGGTAAGGCAGCCTTGTTCCCAAAGGGACAATTGGAAGACACACGCACATTATGGATGTGTGCCCCTAGCGCAGGAAAGATAGTTGGCTGTTTGAATACATATAGCTGTTTTCCGTCTTTGCATTCATTCTACATTGACAGCAGTCAATACCAACTGATTGCCGCAGGGTTGCCATGTAGCGAGTCCTGAGAAATAATTTCGCAATTCGGCACCCTCCGCCTCTCATTTTTTTGGCAAGATGCCGTTGGAGAGCGGCATGATGCTGTAGAGAAGCGACAGAATTGAACTGCAACTGTCAAACAGTTGTAGTTTTTCATGTCCGCAGAATTTCGCCGAAATGACTAGAGAGAGCTGCCAGCAACAGACCTACTGTGCTGGAGAAAAGAGCCACACGTCAGCGCATGATGTCTCAGGCCTTGCTGATCTGCCCGTGCGTTGTTGGCTTTTGCAAAACGTGCTGCCGTGGCTTCTTTTGGTTCATGAGCAGCTTTTTCAGCCGCCTGTCCGTGTCTTGGGGCCAAAGATTATAGCCAGAGACTAGGTGGGCAGTGAGCAAAGTCAAGCTAGCTTCATGTTGAGATGCGAATTGCGGTCATGCCAGCACCATGGATACTTGCCGCACTTGCACTTGTCTTTTTTTACAGTCGCCATGGATCGCACAGAAGAAGTCACATATGTAACGTGGCACGCGATAGCCTTTGCCAATGCCTTTTGGGCATCTATGTTATTGGTCGCTTCCTCCATATTTGGACACGCTGCCGTCTACGTATGTGACCAGGGAAGGCAGCAGATTATTGAATTGGCACACATCAGAACTGGAAGTATGGACGTTGAAGACTTGTTGCAGCAGCTGCCCGAATCCATCAGCAAGACGATTCATCAGACAACATCACCACATGGGACAGTTTTTCAAAGTTTTATGCTTGTGGCTGCATTGCTGATGCTAGTGAGCGAGTTCCCAAAGCATGAATATGTGCAGTTGGGTCTGGATTTGCAGCTTGTTGGCCTCGAGGCCTGCCGCTACCTGTTCCCAGTGATTGGGATTATCTTGCTGGTTTTCGTTCCTATGTCGCATGACTACATTCTTATGATAGAGCGCTTTAAGCAGCCTGGCTATCAGTTGACGCTGGAAGATAAGGCGGTCTTTTTCGCCAACAAGCTGCAGGAGGACATGCATCAGGCAGCGGGGACTTTGGTCTTTGCAGCCACGCCTGGGCTGGAAGGCTTGGCTGAAAGTTTTCCCTTCGGAAGTCGGGAGCATTTCTTCGTCGTTCTCGCCACTTCCATTGCAGCTGTTTCGCTAGGTTTTTTTGAGATTGTTGCATTTAGGAGCATGTTTTTCTTTCACTCTTTCACACATCGCGGCGTGGTGCATTGTGCGGCCTGGCGAGACTGTGAGCAGCTACCTACGGAACCACCGAAGCCCCTCGCTCAACAGCGGGATCTGAATTCAGCGGGAAACCGTGACAGGGGCCGCTCCCGTAGCAGGAGAGGAATCTTTGATGCGTTCTTCAAAGGCTCCGCCAATGCGGTTGCAGGCGGAAGGTGTCCCGCGCCCGTTGTGATGCCGCACAGCGCCCTGGAAATTGCTACTACGGGACCACTGGAGCATCGAGCGCAACAGCGGGGTCTGAACTCAATGAACTACTTGGTCCTTGTTGTTACACGTCCCGCAAGCATGGATCTCGTGCCGCAAGCGGTGTGACAGTGAGGGAAGCTTAGAGTCGTGATCAAGCTGTCATTTACAGATGTATGGCTTGAAGCCACTTTGAATGACATCGCATGGGCACACTCGTCTGACGATGCAAGTGCCCCCGCAGTCTGTGCACCTCGTTCGGGCCTCGTTTGGACCTCGTCAACACCTCGTTTTGACCTTGTTAACTTTGCTGGTGTGCGTCACGTGAAGCTGCAAGAGTGTCTTGCGAGTTCTTAGCAACGTTGAAGCGCATGTTGGTGAATTGCGGTGTGCCATGCGTGTGTGGTCGCGATTCGAACAACTTTTGGGCTCGCAACTAGCTCGGACAAGTAGACGCTAACGTGAAAACGCATTTGCACGAACTTGCCGGACTAGGCAGTTTGAACAGAAACACGCATTTTTGATGTGGTGTGCCATGCGCGTTTGCTTGTGGGGTGAGATCCGGCTGTTGTGGGGTGAGAGCGGTGGGGTGAGATGTGGGTCTGTGGGGTGTGAAACCATGCTGGGTAGTACCATGGCGGCAGCTAGCTAGCGGAAGGTGTCCTGCCTGCCAAGCGCGTCACCACCTCGTGGGGTAAGCATTAGCCCACCAACTGTGTCCAGAGGCCCTCGGGTGGGCGCGGCCTGATTTACTTGCAGTAAGGAGGGCTGCGTGAATGCTAGTCTGCAGAAGGTCCTGATATGCAAGTTCAGGGCAGATCACTCGTCGACCTGTTGGCGGACTTGAGCAAAGTTTGCTCTAGAGTGGCAAGATCCACAGGTTGCTTGATGGGCGGTGGGGAATTTTCCAGAAGGATGAAAAGCAAGCTGCGTCATGCCATTTGAGTGCGAGCGATACGTTCAGCGTCAAGTTCTAACTGGCTGGCCATCTGGGCATAGTCGACATCACTGGGTCGGCAAGCTGCCGAGGTCGATCCTCACTGCTGGCAGGCGCCCCTGGCACTGCAATCCCACACGCTCGAGGGCAGTCTGAACAAGAAATTCCAGCTTGGTGTCTGCAAAAAAAGGCATGTCGCTTGGGCTGCTGGAGCCTAGTGGAGACCGCTCAACAGAATCTTTGGGCAGGAAAACTGTTGCGCGCACCTTGAGACTCTAGGCAACTCGATTACCTGCGTCAGGTCGCGGATATGAGGCAGGCTCACGCTCATTGATCACACCTTGTGCGCACTGGTGAGGGTGTGCCCATCCGGTTTCAAGCCAACCCTCAAGTTGAATAAGGCCGACCACCCCACCCGGGCAGGGCGCGCTGCGGTAGAGGCAACGTGCTCCGATCGCGCGCCGTGCGAGCGTGGGTCCAGCTCCAAGTCGCGCGGCTCCACGGCAAAACGACCCGAAGGAAAAGCAGACCTCGAGCCTTTGCTTACTCCATCTTTCCTGCTGGAACACGCTTTGGCAGAAGATTATGCAGGAGCATCCGGCAAGAATATTCTTGATGGGGTGGCCAGCGCGGGAGCTGCTTGTAGGAGCGCCTGAGTTAGGAGCGTGTGGATGCGTTGCGTCTTCAGTTTCGGTGATAACAAGTGCACTTGCACAGCTTGGTAAGCAAAGAAGTAAGAACCAGGTTGGAGTGAGAACTGCGCTTGGCAAGGGGGCCAGCAATACAGCGCAAACCTATTCTCCAATCACACTAAGCAAGCTACTCAAACAACCTTGTTCCGACGAGTGTTGTGAATTGTTTCTTCTAGGGCGTAAGTTGTCGCGGAAGCAGCGCAAAGCACGCTCGAGAGAGCACGGCTGCGCTTGTGTGTGTGTGTGCCCAGGGAGAACTGCTTGCGCATAGGACACTCGCGCGGAGCACAGTTGGTCAGAGCACACTTTGCAGAATTCTTACGATTGCTGAGCCTACTGGTGGTGTGTGTGCTTTCGCGAAGCAGCGCACAGGGGACACGCCCATTGCAAGTAACAGGTTATTTCCTCGATTGCCCATATTCTGCCACGCATTCCGAGTAGAACCTCACGCACACACACACACACATGCACTTCAATACGCTTGCGTACCTTGAGTTATCAAAGTCTTGATACAAGGCCACACATACACATGCGCACAGCCCGGTGCCTCAACCTAAACGATGTTGGTATAATTTCTTGGGTGACGTGCTCTGAATTGGAGGCTATGCAGTCGGCCGGGCATATGTCGAGTTCTTTGGCAATTCAATGGGTGAGGACTACATCTCGTGGAATGATGGCAATGCAGCGACTTACATGTGGCTGGCACTTCTCTTTGGTCGCACGATTATGTTGCTTGGCACTCACGCCTGCTTGTGGAACATGGTCTACGAAATGTACTGTGAGCCAACTGCAAGGTTTTCTCGCAACCCATATTATGTATATGACGTTGAGAAGGCGCTGATTCGCCACCTTTTGAACTACGTGATGTTGATGGGAATGTCAATTTGGTTTGTCAATGAGACGCAGTTCAACTTACTTTCTAGCTTAGCACAGACTGTGCTGTTGAGCCTGGCGGCATTGGCACTGGTTCTTACCGCGTGCTACACGCTGAATGTACTTCGATACTTGGCCTGCAAAGAGAGGCTGGAATTCATCGACCAATTGCCAGAAAATCGTTTTGAAGCTGTTTGGACGCGTCTTGACCAAAGTCGCATGCCCTGCGAGGTATCTCAACAACGCGACCCTTTCAAAGCAGTTCAACAAGCTCTTCACCAAAACCGAGAAGAGAATGGACAAGTACACCGAGGAGTTGGAAGAGCTTCATGAGAAGTGGGCCAAGTGCACCGTCAAGCGTGATGTGTCCGACGAAGATGACTCAGACGATGATCTTCTCTGTGATCCCGGTTGTCAGTAAAGAGTGTGCCACCAAGTTCACGCTTCATGATTTGCTGGCCCGGCGAAGCCCGCATTGAAAGCGACCAAACAAAGCGCCTAGTCACAGGATCTCGGGACTGCCATGCCACTATGGTCTTTGAGTCTTTGAGTCAAGAGCAACATCCCTTTGGGAACCCTCAAACAACACAAGCAGCTGACAGCATTGCTTGCAGGTGTTGGGAAGTTGGGGATGATCTTGCAGAGATTGCACTGAGATTTCTTGATCTTTGCTCACAATCACAGCAGCTAGTGGCAATCTTTGGGCAAGCTCAAATCTGAGTGCAGCTGATGTGCGTGACAAATCTGGCGTGCTCATTGTACCTGAGAATGCCATGCCATGCTCGGAGCTCACAACTCAAAGCCCCATCAGATCCTGAGCAATTGTCAGAGCATCCCAATTAAGTTCTTATCAGGAACAACAGGTGCCTCGGTGAAAACAACGGCGAGGCAAAACAAGATGGCAGGGTAGGTGGAGCATGCCAAGCTTGGCCCCAAACAGCATTCCAGTTGATAACCTTCCAGAAAGCATGACTTGTTTGACTGTGCACGGCAGACGTTGTGCACATCTATGCCCATTCCTTTGCTGCAACATTCCACCAGCAGAGCACAATCCTTGCGGTGTTCGCCTTGCAAGCTGAGTTCTGTGAACTGGCATCATGGTAGCTTCACGCCATGGCCTGTTGCTGAGTCTTGTTTTTTTTACGCATCTGGCGGATGGGACACTTGACACGTGGCCATGGGTCAAAAGCCAAATCGTACCCCCAGCGAACATCCCAATCCCCACTAAAATGGACTAAAATGGGTGGTGCACCAGTCAATTATCACGATGACATTTATGGCCCAGAGGTACATGAGGTAGATTCTCATGTAGTCAGTTGCATGTTGTACATTCAAGTCAATGCCTGAGCATGATCCAATCACTGCTTTGGCTCAAGTGCTGAAAACAGCGCGTTGCTCGCGCTAACCCCAAGGTTAAGGGAGAGGTCGCAGTCACGGAGGGGTTCGTTCCTTTTAAGGTCCCGGGTTCCCCCGTTGTTGACAAAACTGTGTTTCCCTCTCCTTTGAGTGGTTATCAGCCGTAACGCTTTTCGGGTAAACAAACCCTTCCGTGACTGCGACCTGTTGGTCGCACATGGAAGCCGGCCCTCACCGCGGCACTCGCGGCGGGAAAGGGCCGCGTGCCCGACTATTCAACACTCTGCAACAGATCGTCGTCGACGAGTACAAGCGGCAGAACAGACGATTCCGGTGGATCAGGTTTGCGGACGCCTCGAAGCAACAGGTCGAGGCGCTCTTTTCCTGGCGTGAGTCATTGGATAGTTGGCACCTGTGGAATTTTGACCAAGAGGCCTTCGAAGTGATCCAGGCCGCGGACAACGCTTATCAGCAGCGTCTCGCATTGGTTGAAACCACAGCTGTGGTCTTGCCGCAAGGTGTGCCATCTCAGGATCAAGCCGCAGCCTCAGGCGCGGCGGAAGCAGCGAGCAGTGCAGCGGACTGGCTACGCCCTCCGACGCCTCCTTCAGCTTCCTCCTGGCTGCAAGATTCGCGCACTCCTTTGCCTCGCATCCGGCCATCTGCAGAGGAAAGACAAGCCGCCAAGTCAACACTTCGCGGGGTGTACGCTAAAGCTGCGGAAACGCGGCGGGAGAGCAGCAGGGAACGGTCAACACAAAGATCGAGGTCCCCATCGCCCCGAAGGTCGAGGTCTCCATCATCAACTCCGAGACGAGGACCAACTGCTGCTACCCCTGTGGAACAACGGGCACACAGTGTTGAACCCGCGCTTGCGCGGGAGGGCAGGCCATCCAGGACTTCCCTTGCCACACGGCCCATTGTATTGGCTCCACAGAATAGCATATACCCTGTGACACGATTTGACGAGCACGGCACCTGGGTACTTGTTCGGGAGGCTTCACAGCCACGTGAGGCGACGTCTCATCGCCGAGCACAACGGACGTCCGGACAACTCCGTCAGGCTGACCCGTATTCGCTCGCGGACGAGACGTGGAGGGATCCCCCAAGAAGATCATCCACGAGCTCGCGATCACGATCTCCTGATCGGCGCCCAGCGCCAGCGGAGCACTACCGCCTCGACGCCTACAGCTCGGAAGAGGAACCTCCGCAGGACGCGGAATCCATCAGAACGGGCAGGGCAGCCTACGTGCCTCGGCGCGTGTACGAGGCACCGACTCACACTGAGCCCATTGCTTTGCATAGCCGGAGAATTGGCCACCAAAGGCCGCACCAAAGGTCATTTTTGGCAGCAAGCCTCCATTGCCCAAGGATATCCCCCGGGCAGCTTCTTCGGCACCGGCAAAAGCAGATATTCCGAGGAAATCACCGCCGCGAGCAAGGTCTCCTATTCGGACTCAGAGTGCATTCGGGTACAAGGCGCCTCCGCGAGGTTTGAACAAGGCCGAACCCAGAAGCAAATCGAGCTCAAACCCACCACAATTCGGGTACATCGTCAAGCCGCCGCCGCCGCAGGTCGTTAAAGCAGCTGCTGCTAGCGCTGCAACTTCCGAGGCTGGCTCACGCTTTCGATCGCCACCAAGAAGGGCACCGCCTGCGCCACCGCCGCCACCACCTCCGCCTGGAAGGCCTGTGCCGCCCAAGGAGCTTGTCGTTGCTCTTGACTGGCACGGAGTTCTTGACGTTGGGCAGCAGGGACCCCACCTCAACCCGGAGGTGATCCGACATCTCGTTCAATTTGCAGCCGACTACGCACCTATAAATTTTATAGTGCTATCCTTCGTGGGCAGGGCTGCAAGCGAGTTTCGCCGCCGCGAGTTCCAGGTCGCCCTGGAGCACGCGCGGGCGACATCTGGACTCACTTTCTCTGCGATAAAAATCGTACACGAAAGGTTGGGTAGGGGAGGCAAAGCAGACGCCCTTCAAGGGCTGGGCGTTCACGCCCTTATTGACGATACAGCATCGATTGTCCGTGAAGCTCAAAAGACAGGCATCGCGGCGTTCCGCAACTTCCCGCATTTCGGGCCGAGCGGATTTGCCAACGCACTTGAGAACCTTGGTGAGTTTATCGAGTCCCGGAATAGACATTTCATTCCGGCGGCAAGGGGCCTGCGTCCATCGCAGTACCTCGAGGAGCTCCACCGATCTGCATCTCAGTTGCCCGCCAACCGGGTACTTCGATAGCCTTTATTGCAAGCCGTTAAAACCGTTGCTTTGCGCGGTACAGCATCTCTGCAGCTACAGGCATTCGATTAGCAGACAAATTCTCAATACAGCTTGGCAACATCCCTCGATAAAGCACCATAGTGCGGCAGTGCGGATCAATCAATCTACAAGTACAATTACAAATACAGAATTCATCAGGTGCAAAGCAGCAGGGCGTATTTTCTTGAGTGGCTCACTTGAGCGTTTCGCAACCAGCTGCCAATCCAGGGATATCTCCTCGTAGCACCTTTTGACACGCTGCTCAAAGCGCGTGGAGCTAGCTTCGTGTGAGTGCAAAAGTTGCATTGCTGTGTCATGGCTTCAACGGGCCTTTCACCGCCATCAGAACCCCGTTCAAGGTCAACCCCAAATAGGGATTCTGAACCGGATGACCCTGACCTAGCCATGGTTCCTGCAGCTATGTCCACAGTTCGCACATCCACACCTCAACGAGCAGCCCAAACACGACCATCATCACCCCCGAGTGGTCCGATCGTGTCAGAACCGACATCATCCGAAGCTTCCCCAGCCATTCAGTTTCCTTCACAGGGATCGCAATTACCTGACCCGATGACTAACGTACCCGCTGCGGCATTTATAGCTGGAGCTGCGGTGCAGCAAGCTCATCGAGCATCCGACCTCGCTGCTCAGGCAGCCAATCACGCCTTGCACCAACAGCAGGCCGCCGACCAGGCGAGACAAGAGGCCGGATGGATCAGGGAAAGGGCTGTAAGAGAAGTATCAGACGTTAGGGTTCAGGCCGCTCAGCTAGCTTCGCAAGCACAGCAGGCTGTACAAACAGCGCAACAAAGTGAGGCTCAGGCTAGGCAACTAATCGAGCAGACACGACAGGAAGCCATCGGCCATGTCGAGAACGCACGACAGGTTGTTAATGCCACTCAACAGGACGCTCAGCAAGAGGTTCAACGCATTGTTCAGGAGGCTCAACAGGCAATCTTGCAAAGAGAACAAACCATTGCCAGTCAAGAGCATACCATTCGTGGGTTGTCTCAGGAAAATTCTGTGATGCATCAACGACTTGGTGATCTCGAACGTGTTGTTGCACACCTCACCCAACAAGCTCGTGCGACCCCTGTTCCGATTCAAGAGTCCCCGCCAAAAGCCGCATCAATAGCCGAAACAGCTACGGAAACAAGCGCGGCTAAAGCCTCAAGTCAGGGCACAGTTCCCCCAGGAACCCATCAGCCGGTTGGAGCACCTCAGGTTTCAGATTCACAAGATGCCTCCGGTGTTGCCGCATCGTCGCAAGGGAATGCTTTTACAGGTACTATCCCCGACCCTCCGTGTGGTTCTGTTCAAAGTTCAGGACTTGGTCACGATGCCCCAGCTGATTCAAGGGACCCTGGTGGGGGTGCAACAAGTCAACATCTCGCAGGCCATTCGGCAGTGCTAGGAGCAGCGTCCTCTGTTGGAGACGCAGCCCCCGGCGCGTCAAGGACTAGCGGGTTGGGTAGAGACGGTACAAGGGATCAAGCCGATGTGAGAGTGCAAGTGACAGCTTTAGCGGAAATGGTTCAGCAGCTTTCCCAATTGGTTGCTAATCAAGTGGCTCCGCCACCTCCGCCTCCGGCCGCACCACCTCCAGCGCCTCCCATGCCCCTTGCAGGGGCGCCGCCTCCGCCAAAAGCTGGCAACGGCACTCATGTTCCGCCAGTACCAATCACAATGTTGGGAGGGTTGTACTCGTCATCCCCACAAGCGCCATCGGCAGCAAGCTCCGACACATCATCAGACTCTGATGGAGATGATGATACCCCACAATGTCGAGTTTGCGGCGGCAGCCATGAAGACACGGATTGCCCATACCTCACCATGAATGGTGGTGGGGGAGGTGGGGGAGGCCCTGGCCAGTTCCCCAATGCAGACCCGTCTCAAGCTGCCGATCCCAGTGTAGGCATGACCGCCGTAGATCACGCCGCACATGAGGAGTCCGTTGTTCGCGTCAAGGACCTCAAGGATCTCGTGTTACCATCCCCTCCGGAGAACGCTGGACAGGCTAGAGGTTTCGTCAACCAAGTTTTGATGGCCATCGGCCGACTCCAGAAGACCCCCGGAGATGAAGTTTACCAGTGGGCCCAAGCATGCATGTCCTCCACCGAGCAAGAACTCATCGCGGACAAGCGTTTCCCACGGTTAGATCGTGAAGTAGCCGCAAAGCTCCTTAAAAACTGCCGTAAAGGTAAGTTCGGGCTCTTGTTTCAGAATATGGTTGAACAAGAGAGAATCTCGTCAGGTGGGATGCCCGTAGGGAGAATCATGTTGCGTGCTATCTTCAAGCACTTTCAGTTGGAACGAGGTAGGCTCGGAACCTTAGGAGGTCGCAACTTGTTAAAGTTGTCTCTTGCAGGTCCGTCCCTTGCTGACTTGGATGCCTTTCGGGAGAAGTACGTTTACGTGCTGACCGCAATCCCCGTCGCAGAGCAACCCAGGGAGACAACCTTGTTTGATCACCTGTTGGATGAGCTGGAAAAGTG